CAAAAGACGTTCCACTGCTGACATGGTAGGAAGAAATGTAACTCATAACTTGCACTAAATGTATATTATTTTTCTTGAAGTTTTACCATTCTTTATTTATATTTGTATGGATTTAAAAAATCTATTAAATATGAATCAGTTAATATCTCACATAACTAATTACCTTTTTAATGTGATTTTATAGAATAATTCATAATCCTCTGCAAGTAATGGAGGATTAGCAAATGTTTACAACTAGATGAAAGGTTTAAACAAAATGGTTTCTTTATGATCCAACATGCATATAAGATCATTTTCAAATATGACTTTCACTGCCGTTTCCTCGAGATGTCTGTTTTCCTTTACTAGCAGATAACTGGAACAGTAATATTAAAATTTTATTTTAAAAAAAATGCAGGGTTTTAAAAATAACAGGAAGAAAGCAACTGTAATTATTAGATTGCTTTTGACTGTTTTTTTCCTTTTTTTTTTTTTCCCCACAAGTATATAGCGGTGTAAATGCTCTGTATGTAGCCACAGAAGATGAGCAGCAGGGCAGAGTCAAATCCCAGTACTTGAAACTCTGGCAGGACTTTAAAATTCAGCAGCAACACACATGCTAGCAGGTGAACTGAGAGATCCCCAACCTCTTTACTTGCTTCTTTCCAGTCACTAGATTAATTTGTTTCATATTCATTTTATCAAACCAATAGCACCACAAACACACGCAGAGGAAAAAACGCAATACGCTATAAGCCTAAAGTTGGGAGGAAAAAACCTAAGAAATCTGGCTGACAAAAATTGTGCTTTATAATACGGGGTTAGATATAGTTTCCTTCTTTTAACAATTATGCCCACAGGACTGCAAAAATATAAATGGTAAAGTCTAAAATAATAATCCCAGGTATCTCCAAGGCATTCATCACAGTTACCTCAAATGTCTTAACTCGCCAAGTACTCGGTATGATTCCATCTTGCGTACAGGAACATACTGAAAGGAAAGCCTGGTACTTCTGGCGAGCTCCCAAATAATGCCTGCGCTTAAGTGCTCTGCTGAATTTTTACTGTTTTTTCTGAGTATTAAACCGCCATCTACATCTTGTCTCCTGCAGCAACTGGAAGCGAAAGGTGCCAGGGGGCTTGTGGCGATCAGCCCCTGTATTAAGAACAGGTTTGGAAATGAAACAGGGAATTGGGCTGTGTTGAAACGGGAGCGTTTCAGCCACTGGCTGTATCCTCCCACCTGAAGTCAGCCCTCATGGTTCAAAATTTGTTCTGTGACATTGCAGTCAGCCTGAGGAAACTTGACAAAGAGCAGGATTTGGCCCATTTATAGAAGGCAGCTCCGGAAGTTGTCTGTGATGCTGATTTCCATTGTCCAATTCTTTTACACAGTGGAAGAATATAAACGCACTACATGTGTAAAAATGGCTTCAAATCAGTTTGAAACCTCTGCCATTTCTGACGTTCTCATAAAACACTGCTGTGTGTACTGTGTTACCTTGCACCTAATCCTGCAGACTGTACTGTCTGAATTAAAATGCCGGTCACACCCCTGCTGTGTCTTAGAATTTCAGTGTGGATCCCGAGTGCCGCATATAAATTGTGCATCTCTGCTCTTCTTACCTGCTAAGCTTTCCCCGCTGACGTTTAAAGTGTCTTCTGGTAAACATACATTAGAGGTTCTGATAATGAAGTACGTGTGCCTGTGCTGTGCAACAAAAATTTCCTAACGTACAACTTCCAGCGCCTTACTCAAGTTACTAATTTGAAAAAAAAAAAAAAAAAAAAAAAAATGGGGGGGATGGGGGGGCGGAAGGGTCAGCGGTTTTTTTCTTCTTTTTTTTTTTTTTTTTGAAACCCATTCAGTTACTGGTTCATGAAGAATGCATTCTTTGTTGATCTGTGATGTTGCCTAGAGCTGTATTTAATATTGATCTTAATGTTTTTATTTATACTAGTGTGGTAGAGCTGCGTATCATTACAGTAAAAATTCTGATTACTGTGATGATGTAATCAAACATTAAAAACTT